AAAATTTGGTGAGACTTCATCTTAAGAGATGACATTTATTATTAATTGGGCATTTAACATGAGAAACAAATCTGTTGGCCGTATCCCAGCAGGGAAAGATCTAAAACAAAGCAGCAGGAGAAACTCAAGTAGAGGAGTCTGTGAGTGCTCTGTGTTAGATCAGGAGCCCTGAACTGCAGAAGGGAGACCATCCAGCTAAAAATGCTGTGTATTCACAGCTAATCCTGAATTAGGAGCAGAATTGGGAGCCCTAAAATCAACCAAAGGAGTGTTTATTGCCAAGGCTGGCCAGTGCAGCCCAGGCTGTGGCTCAGAGCTCTGGGGTTGATTTACTGAGTGCTCCTGATGGAGGAGGTGGCTTGTGTTGCAAGCAGCAAAGTTCAGATCCGTGGCAGGGAGTTTGTAATTACATTCCAAGTGGAAATACTTCACTGACAGGGGCAGAGATAGGGATGGAGAGCAAAGAGGAGACTTCTTCTGCTGAGGCTGGAAGCACTGGGTTTTAAAAGGGAAATTAATATTAAATTCCAGCACTTACTCTCCAAGAATGATGTTAAGACTCTGGGGTGCCCCTTTTGTGCCCTCAAAAATAAGTGTAGGAAAAAAAATTAAGGCTAAAGAATCAGGAACTTAATAATTAACTTGGCTCCTGCTGTCTTTCCTCTCACATCTGGGAAGTTGGAAACTCAAGATACCCAAAAGCAGAGGGACTGCAGCTGTCTTTTAAAAAAATTCAAAGGTAGAATCTGGAGAGGAAATACTACAGCACAACTTTGTGTAGAAAGAATTAAATGAAAAATTAATTGCAGTGTTATAGGAGAGGAAATTACTTGGTTTATGCCTGGTGAAATACAGGAAACATTCCTGTAATTATCTGGAAAGAGAGTGGTGGTGAAGTACATCTGTTAACTGTCTTTAATCCATAAAATGTCACAATTATTTGATGTGTTAGGTGGTGCTGTGGTTGTTCAAAAAAATCTGGGTTATAAATTATTATCTGTATCAAAGTTTGAATGTAATGTTTATGGGGTCAGAAATAGTTTAGATAAATGTCATAGAAATAACTTAAAAGAGATAAAGACTTCATGGTATGATCTGTATGCTGCATAAAGGGGAAAATTAACATTTCTGCTTTAGTCATTAAAGTACAGCTCCATCATACGTGTTTTTAAAAAACTTTACTTTCAACTTTAGGTTTTCAATTTCAATTACACAGTTTCTTTTCTTTTGCTGAAGGCTTTAATTGTTACACTTGAGTTCAAGCTGCTGTTTCCATATTTTTCTCCTTCAGGCTTTTTCTCTGAGTACCTTGAATTTTTTTTTTTACCTCTTATTAATAGGAAGCTAGTAAAATACATACAATTAATCTAGTTTTACATATCAGAGAATGAAATTCCTGAAATAGCATCAGTCTTGCAATTCTTCCTGAATTCATCTCTATGCCAGACTTCTCCACTTGAAATTTCCAGTATTAGGGATTATTTGCCAAACAAAAGAAGGTAAAATGCTGCCAATGTTTTCTCCCAAACTTCTAATCTAAGTGCAAACAAGACAGATAAATATTTTTCAAGCAGACTCCCCTCTTCACCTTCCCAGTATATTGTGAGCTGTTTCCAAGCTTTCTGAGCAGCACTTTTCCTTGTTTTGGTATCTTTTGTGAGCACAAAATCATCTTGTGTGCTCTGCAAGGAGAAGCAGGGAGGTTTTAATACTCTGCTAATCAGGTTGTTGTGCTGAAAGGCAGCAGAGCACTGCTGAAGGCAGGATGCTGAAGAGGAGAGAAATCCTGGGAATTTGCCATCTTCTGGCAAGGTCCTCTTTAGAAGATGCTGTAGGCTTTGTCAAATTTCAAACACAGCATTTTTAGACATTCTGCGTGGTACTGGGAAGATTTTTGGTGAAAAAAAGTTGCCTGTAGAGCTGGAGGGCTGGATCACTCTCCATAGTGAGCTGTGGTACTTAGCACCTGGAATTTCAGAAATGAAAGAATCAGCCAGAGAACAAAACCAGGTCCCTGTTGTGCAATTCCTGCTGTCAGAGAGGCTTCATCAGATTTATTCCTCCTGTGGAGCTCCTCAGCTTTCCAGCACCAGAAAGGGCTTGGTGGAGAGATGTGAATCCTCACTTCTTGAGAAGCCCTCCTGTCTCCCCTTTGCCTTTAATGAGATGTTTGGAGGAGCACCACTCCTGATGCTGCTCAGTGTTTGCAGTTCCATAATCAGCAGGGGCTTGGCAGCCCATGTGTGTCAATCTCTCATTATTGGATCTCTACTTTAATCTTGCATACTTTTCTTTTTCCCCAGCATCTCACTTGAACTGCTTCCCTGTTAACTTCTGTTTCAAGTACTGGCATTGCAGGAGTGGTTTTGGGTTTTTTTGGTTTTTTTTCCTTTCCTTGAGCACCATCTGACCTAAATGCTGTTATCATTCCAGGTTTATGTGTTGAAACGACCACATGTGGACGAGTTTCTTCAGAGGATGGGAGAGCTCTTTGAATGTGTACTCTTCACAGCCAGTCTAGCCAAGGTTTGTTCCTCCCTTCATCTCCTTAACCCTTATGGTGCTGGTCCGTGGACTTTTGGTTGGGTTTTCTATGGATAATTATTTCCACAGTTGGTACTATCTTAATTTTTCCCCTTCTTTTCTGCTTCTTTGTCTGACAGTGTGTACTTTGTCTGCTAGTGTGTGGGTAAGTGTTTCCATGGTAACACCATCACATATGGGCTTGTCTCATAATGTAGCCTCCATGCATTGCTCATGATGCCAATATGAAAGGCTCACAAGTTACCATGGTTATAGTGAGAAATTAGAACAAATAGCTTGCCAGTGAAGCAGCACATTAAAGCTGGGCATGAAATAAAACACCGAATTAAACCCTGTCTGCACCATCAACCAGTGACTCAGAAACTCACTGGAAATTGGGAACCAAGGTTCTTGCTCTCTTGAGGTGCAATTTCAACCTGGAGTTAGAAAATGAGGCCTTTTTGCAAAGCTTGAAATGTCCCCAGGAATATTTTGTGCCCTCTGGTCCTGCAGTAGCTGTAGTGGCTCGTAGGTAGTTTTTGTGGTAGATGTTACAGTAGTAGAGTGATCTGGAATTCTTCACTTCCTTCAGTGTATTGTATTCGTTGTGTCTTGTTTGTAAAATGATATTGGTTATTTCTAAATAGTGCTCTAGCATGGCAAGCTGTTGCTCCAGCCTAGTGTAGAGATGGTGGAAGGGGACAGGACCTTGGATCTTCTATAAAGCCTTTTCCCCTGCATTCTCTTTACCACATACTGTTCAGTCATGTTGGAAAAAGAATAAATACTGCCCCAATTTCATACTGAAATGATGTGCCTTATTTCATAATCAAAAGATGATTGATTTCAACATCAGTTCTTTTTCTTGGTTTAAAATATAGGAAAATGATAACTCCTGTTGTGCAATAATAAGACATAACTACTATTTTCAGCTATGTGGTTAATCATGTTCAAGTTTATTTGGATACTTCTTCTTGGTCAGTTTATATAAATCGTTGGATTCTAAGCTGTGCCTCATTTAAAGTATAATCTAATGTATAAAATGAGAATTTCCCTGGTATTGTACTTGAGTATTTTTATTAATAACATCTTTGGCTGATCTTTTTTGCCCTAATTATGCAATTTGGTAATCTGAAGAGTCTTGCTGACCCAGTTGCTCCAAGGGCATTTATTTGGCAGAGCCACGTCAGGCTCAGATTTGTTCACTGCAGTTTATCTTCAGAGGCACATGGAAACAAACCAGCTGGGGAAAAGCTTCATATTGATTTTCTATTAGCATTGGCTGGTTTTATGGTAATGGTAGGTGAGATCTCTGGATCCATCAACCTCTCAGGTTAACTCAAAGTTGGCCCTGAGAATAAAACCTAATCAATAAATCAAAGAAAACATTTAGAGTGCAAGTTAGCCTTCTCTAGAAAGATGATTGTCCTACTTTTGCTTTATCTCTTAATTAATCACTTCAGGTTTGCAGGCAATTGAGTTAATTTACAAGGAGCAGGGAAGAAAATGGAGGAAAAGGGTGTTTTACCTGAAATTATTTTGTGTCCCTTGTCTGGCTCTGTGAATCAGCCTTCTCTGCACGTTGCTAACTTGATGTTTCTGACTTGTATTTTTAAGTATGCAGACCCAGTAGCTGACTTACTGGATCGCTGGGGTGTGTTCAGGGCAAGGCTCTTTAGAGAATCCTGTGTTTTCCACCGAGGGAATTATGTGAAGGATCTGAGTCGACTGGGCCGTGAGCTGAGTAAAGTTATTATAGTAGATAATTCTCCTGCATCTTACATCTTCCATCCTGAAAATGCAGTAAGTATTCCGAGTACTCGAGCGTAACTTCCTCTCTCTGGCCCTTGCCCAGGTTTTGTGATTCAGAAAATAGACTTTTCAGAGCACTGGCTTGTGTCAGATTCTGTATTTTCTTAGGCTGCAGTGGGTGCTGGGGTTCAGTGCCAAGTGGTGAAGGACATGGGCAGAGTGATCTTGACAGAATGTCACAGCCGTGACCGCTTGTGTGCTCTGAGCTTTGGCTGTTGGCTTGAGGTCCAGCAGTTTTGAGAAATACCAAGTGGTGTGGAACCTGAAAAACCAACCTAGCTCTAGGAAATAAAGCTGCCCTCCAGCACAGATTTTGTTCTTTGGAGTAGTGATTGCAGAAAAAATGGTTTGCTTGAACTTCTTTAGGTACTCCCATCTTTTTTCACTGTGTGAATAATATTTTATTAAGAAACATAATTAAGGATTTACACTTGCTACTGAGATCTGCATTTGTGGGTAAGGGAAAGAAAAAAAATCAACATCCTCTTGTGTTATTATGCTCCTCTCTCAATTATTTTTGTCATGGCTCCATAATTAGAGCTGTTAGTCAACAAGTTAATCAAGGTTTAGGAATAAGGATAAAGGGCAGACAGCAGTTCTGTAGGGGAGAACAATGAGGAGCAATGTGCATTTTCACTGTCTGTTTGTGTTGGCTCCAGGAGCTCTGATGGAGAAGTCTGGGGTGCTCCATCCATGGCTGCAGCCAGCACAGCTGCTCACATCTGCTTTAGCTGCCAGGGGAGAAGCTGGAACTCTTAGATCTGCTGACTTTTACACAACCAGGCTGTGCACTGTTTGCTTTGATGTTTTTAGGCTGCCTTCCTTGTGAACTGTTAAAAATCAGTGTAGGAAATCTTTTATTAGGAACACTGCTTTGCACAGTCCTGCCTCTCCAGATTAGTTTGGGTTTTTTTTCCTATTTTGTAACATGAGCTATTTATCTTCCAGCAGTCAGCTTTCAAGTTCAGATCCTAATATTGTGATGCCCTGAGTGATGGGGTGAAAACATTTTTCTGGTTGGTGCCACACATGGTTTAAAGCTGCCATTTATAATAACCAGGACCTGTAGCTGTAATTTACATTCATGGTTAAAATTAAAAACCTGATCCAAGATCATCATTTGGTATCTCGGAAATCAGTGCCAAGGAAATAATGAGCTGTAGAAATTTGGGAGATGAAATTAAGGGCCTTGTCAGAGTGGTTTAATCATGTATAGAAAAGTGCTGCTGGCTGGCTGATGCTGGAGTCTCTGCAGAAACCAGAGCTTGTAACAAGATCCAAGATAGTCTTGGAAAGACCTCAGTGTGCTCCCATAGTGAAGATACACAGAATACCTTCCCCAAATCCAGTCTGCATATTTAAGAAGGGTTATTATCTGTGTTGTTTTCTGAACCCACTCACTAGATCTAACATTTTTACCTGAACAGTGTTCTGCCCTTGCAGTTCAACACTTCCTCCAAACCCCATGCTGGAAGCAGTTGTTGCTGCCTGCTTGTGCCTGGTGACTCACTTTGATAATTCTTAGAGGGGGGAAAAAAAATTGCTTGTAAATAAAGTGTCAGTGCAGCTTCATAACCTGTGTCTGCCTTCCAGTCTGTTCTGGATACCAAGGAGGCAAAGCGAGGAGAGCTGCCCAGTGTGGGATCATGTGGGTCACCTGGACATGCAGGTGAAGGTCAGCTGCCCTGGTTGGGCTTGGAGTTGAACCTGCTGCTCCACCTGAATGCTAATGAGCAGCTAATTGCCATCATTATTATAGCAGGATGATGATGGTGACAGAACACCTACACAGACAAAACTCACATATCTTTTACATCATGAAGCCCTCTCAGTGTTTGTTGGTTGCTTTGTTTCAGGTGCCTGTGCAGTCCTGGTTTGATGACATGACAGACACAGAGCTGCTAGATCTTATTCCTTTCTTTGAAGGACTAAGCAAAGAGGAAGAAGTTTACAGTATGCTTCATAAACTCTGCAACAGGTAGCCCTTAACTCTGAGTGACTCCTGCTCCTAGGTTGCAGTTGCTAGAGGCTGTCTCCATCTCTTTCAGCTCTTTCAAATGTAAGCTTTGGGGAGGTCACCCCAGTCAGAAGTGCTACTCTCGATCTTCCTGTTACATTGGACACGAAGGACAATCACGAGTGATGCTATTAAGCCTTCAGAAGCCTGACTCCTAAGGTCTTGTGTTCAGACTACTTTTTTAAAGGAAAAAAAAAAAAGCTATTTTGAATGGGACTCTTTTAATTAATTTCATAAATGGACATCTTTTACTGGATCAGCTTTTCTTAAAACATGCCAAAAAAAGAAGCTTGTATTTCAGCAGTTGAATTTCTCTCCCTTTCTTCCCCTCCCACTATGCAGACAATTTTACCCCCCTGCTTAGAGCAGTTGACCTGACTCTGAATTTTTTCTTACAGAATGAAGTGCCTTTTTGAATGTTATTTTAAGATAAAAATTCATTTTTGTATAAGACGTATTTCCAGACATCTTTTAGTCTTGTATTGTCTAAATGCTTTAAAAGGAAAAAGGAAAAAAAAATTTATAGAGCACTGTAATATATAACAAAGGAAAAAGTTGAAACCAAGATGCTGGGTTCCTGTCTCCACGATGACAATAAGTTGTGTTACTCTTTGTCATGCTCAGAAGGTTCAGGCAGTCGTGGGAGGGTGAACTGGGGTCATTAACATGGTTGTTTCACTGATGAGGATTTTGGGCACAGTTTTAAATCATATCTGCAGTTGTTTGAGTATTTAGGGAGTGATGGAGTTGAGGAAATCAGGTGGCTGATAAACCTAAAGCACCTTGAATTCCAGACAGATGAAGTTCTGCTGTCTCTGCTTACGCACAACTGCCATGCCTCTTCTTTTTTGGAAAACCATTCTCTTGGGAGAATGGTGAGGAGATCTATTTATTAGCTTAAGATTCTTTTCTCAAAACAACCCATCTGGGTAAGCTGGATCTACATTGAGCTGTTTGGAGTACTTTTTTCTTTTAATTGCTGCTACTGTATACTCACCAAATGGAGTTGACCATCGGCTGTTATACTGTTTTTGCCACTGTGCCTGTGCTGTGAGACATTTTCTGTAAGCTGCAAACTTGGGCAATAAATAAAATGCAGGCTTCATAACCCACCCCTATGGATTAATCCATTGGTATCTGATATACCAGTTCAAGGTGACCTGTAAAGGATTTTTCTTTTTTTTTTTTTTTTTTTTTTTTTTTTTTTTTTTTTTTTTTTTTTTTTTTTTTTTTTTTTTTTTTTTTTCAATTAAGATGAAGCCCTCTCCTTTCTTTGATACAGGAAAATGCAGGAAGTTTGTTGCCCACACCTTTGATTTATATTTCTTTTTCCCCAAGGTGTATGGTACAGATTATGAGCTGTATCAAGTCTTGCTGGAAGGGCAGAAGTTACTAGCCTAGACTAAAATTGGTTTTGGAGTTGAGTTAGACTCATCTCAGAATCTGAGAGCCTGCTTAACATCTTCTGCAGTGCCATAGGTATTTCAGATGAATGTTTTTTAAATATTTTATGCCTTTGAAGAACAAGGCACACCTTTTTTTCCTTCCCCCTTTCCAGTGTCACCTTTCAGTTACTGTCCACAGCAGAAATCTGCAAACTTAAAAAGTGCAGCTGTGTTTGGCTGTCATCAGAGAAGACTAAACAGATTATTTGGTGCTTCTAATTAGCCTCGTGCTAAATTCTGAATTGTAGACCCCCTTTGCCTTTTCTCTTTTCCCCAAAAAGTCCCGATGACTTGGGAAAAAAACAAATTTCTTTGTGATGGACTTGGGGCTTGTGATCCTTGTCTCAAAAACATTGGTGAAGCAGCTTAACAAATGCATGTGAGAGGGGCAGGCCAGTGGGTTGTGGTGGGTGCAGTATCAGACTGAGCCCCCCTTGCAGTGCAGCTGTGCCCCAGCTGTGCTCCAGCTGTGGCTGGGCCCAGCGGTGCTGGAGGCAGTCCCGTCACACCCGTGAGTCTGTAGGGCATCACCCTTTTGTTTCTTAACCAGCTGGCATCACCTTAGTACTGTATAAATCTGTGCCACAACAAAAAGACAGAACATCGAATTTAAAAATGAAAAATTAAAACAAAAAAAAAAGCCTACTTTGTTTAAAATATAACAAAAAAAAAAACTTTAAAAAGGACGTATGGATTCTGGTTAGTCCATTAACGTTTACTTTCAGTTTAAGATGGTTTAATTTTGTATTTGACTCCAGAGTAATGAAACTGTAAGCTGCCAAAAAAAAAAAAAAAAGTTGTTCTCTGAGCAGTATTTTCAACTGTGCCTGGGCTCCTGGGCCCCAGTGCAGTTTGCAGGGAAGTATTCAGGTTGTAGTTAGTCGTGCAGGTATGAGAGGAATGGCTGAAGAAATTCAAAGACTTTTTCTTGTTAGCATTAGACCAAACAATCAGACAATGAATAAATAACCCACGAGACAGGGCCGTGTGACAGTTGTGACCTGTTGGACGTGAGACAAACCATGTCACCCGTTTGCATCTCTGGAAAAAGCGATTTCGTGAACCAGTTGCCTTAAGTCTGTGAATGAATGTTGATTATATTATTAAAGTGTCTTGTATTGTTTTCAAATCCACATAGAATGGGCAACTGAACTTCTGCACCAGCCTCTGGAGGAACGGTTCTGATGATGTGCTGTACAACCATACTTGTACTGTATTATTTTGGCTCTTAAAACCCCCAAATTTTTAAAAAAACCCAACTTACTGTAACTTACTACAGCATTAAAATGACACTTGGTGACAATAAAGAGACAAAAAGCGTAGCACAGCTTTGATCTCTGTTCATATTAAGAGCATTTTCTCTAAGTTCTGATCAGCCCTATTTTTTGTAACCCACCCAATTCATATGGGAGTAGAACTCTGCAGTCAGGTTTGGACTCCCCTGGGTATTCAGATTTGGCCAACAACTGGTCACAGTTGTTTATTTTGACACTTATCATCATACTTGATATTTCAAGTGTTGAGTTTGCGTGGATATACATACGCTGTATATTTAGAGTTTCTAGATTCTAAAAAAGCAATAGAGTTCTGTCCATAAAGTCAGAGAACGAGTGGAATGTTTGTAAAATTTGCAATACGGGTATTTGATTGTATTTTAAATACAAGATTTAAAAAAAAAAAAATCAAAAAAGAAAAAAAAACACCAAACCCTTGTTTCCTAAATCTCTTGCATATTTTGAAGTGCAGTTACTGCATGCAGGTCACCAGGGCTGTTGTAAACCCTGGCTTTCACTTCTATTTCTGGATATTACAGAAATATTCAAAAGTCTTTTCTCAGTTGATCATTTTAAAGACATGCTGCCTGGCCTGAAGTTCTGTTGTCCTTCCTATGTTGGGTTAAAAAACGGTTTTTTTGCCTGTATGGGTATTTTTAAGTTAAGCTGAAAGGCAGAATGCCTTAGACCCTTGAAACGCACCGGAAGCGTTAACCCTTTAATTGCCATTTGTAACCTTAGGGCTGTGCGCTGAATCCTTGTTCACACCAGGAGGCGTGGCAGGCTGGGCACGGGGAGATGGTGGCAAATGTACAATATTGCTGTGTTCATTTAGGTAGCTTTGGAAGAATAATTTGTCTCTTTGTTTCACCCTTTTGATCTTTATTCAAGCAGCAAAAAGTTCTGCGTGGAAGAAACTCAACACCTGGAGACGTTTTTGGTTGTCAGTGTTCGCAATCACTTTTCTTACAGCATGATTTTGATTAGACTGGTTGGGGACAATAAAGTATCTAAATGACACTGGTGTGTGCTGATGTTGCAGCTTTTGAAACTTCAATGTTAAAAAAAAAAAAAAAAAAAAAAAAAAAAAAAAAATAAAAAAAAAAAAAAAAAAAACAAAGATATTAAAAAAAAAAAAAAAAACAAAAAAAAACCAAGAAAAAGAATCTGTAGCTCTGTGACTTCCGAAGGCGTGACCCTCTGTTGGACAGATTGTTTTTGACCTAATAAACCACCGGTCCGCACAGCCCTATTTGTAAAACAAAAACAAGTTTGTGCCTCTGATTCCAAGGTGCTGTGATGTTTTTTTTGCCTTTGTGGGGTGAGGAGGGGCAGGTGAGACTGGCGTGGGGCAATTGCTTCAAAATCTCTGGGCTAACTATGCAAAACCAGCTGTCAGTTTTCTGTTTCACATGATGTTGTAAAATCCCAGCTGACTCTCTCCTATTTCTTGTTAAAGATCTATTTGGAGCTCCTCAGCAGAGGAGTAAGCAATGGAAATGTTTCTTTCTTTCTTTCTTTTTTTCTTTTTTTCCTTTTTTTTTTCCTTATGATGGAGCTGTTTACACTTTGATGCAATGAACAATCCAGCAATACTTGAGAAACACTACAGATACCATATGAGTGTTTGCAGGAGAGAGGAGTGTTGTCAATCAGGTATTGAATGGTTTCTTTACTGTCACAAATAAAAAGTTTTAACAATATAGTTACTTGTGCATGTAATACTTCTCTGGGAAAAAGCATTTCTGCACTTCTCTTTCAGTAACAGGCACTGCCCTGATTCAGCAGGGACTTCACTCCTGCTAATGCACATCCATGTTAGAGGGCAAAATCACCAAATCACCCACCCCTGTCCCACCCTCCTCCCCCTCTCCCCTCTCTGTCACGTGCAGGACTCCTCATGGCTGCCCTGGCACCTGCTTGTGCAAACAGAGCTGATGAACTACTCATGAACTCTGCTAAATAAATTGGTGGCGACTCTTGCAGATGTTCCAGCTATTTAGATCTTTTGGATGAGATCATACAATAATTTGTTCGAGTCTCAAAGCTGTGTGGCTTCTTTTGAAGGGCTTACTTCAGCTACTTGAATAGCTGTTCTTAACATCACTGCCATATCCACATGAATATCTGAATAAAACACTTTATTTGGTTGGAAAAATCTATTTTGGGACTTTTTATCTGACACAGTAGACTTAAGCAGAGCCTTCCTTTCTAGGAAAAGGCACATATTATTGATGCTTTATGAGCAGAAAACCTCAGGCCTGTTGGAATTAGCAGCTGGCTCAAGATTAGCACATTAGTTGCAATTAAAAATATTTTTTAGTTAGTCCTGTGAATGGTTGGATGACCTGGCCTGCCTTTACTTTGTATGGTTGGTCAGGTTTTTGATTTTTTTTTTTAGGTTTGGTTTGGTTTTGGTTTTGTTTTTAATTTTACCAATCTCCTTAGCTGCTACTTAGGATAAAGATGCCTTTTTTTTTTTTTTTTTTCAAAATTCATAAAACAGCTCATTTATAGTGGTGAGAAAAATCCAGTTGTTCTGTACTGACAGAAACCAAGTGTCTGCAGAACTGAATACACAAGTCTGTACACCTGGAGGCTTTCCAGTGGTTTTTCCCCCCTTGTTTTTTGTTGTCTTTCGCCTCTCTGCAGTTCCCTGCAGGATGGGATGGGGCTGTTCCAGGTGGGATGCAGCCTCCAGCAGTTTTCCTGGCAAGCAACGTCTGCCATCCAAACTTCCCACCAGCCCAGCCGTGCTGGCAGGAGCCCAGGAATGTTCTGGACTCCTGGAGCTGCTGGGGAAGGAATGATCCGTGGGTACCCCATTGGTCTGGGGAGCTTGGCAGCCTTGGAAAGCTGCAGGAGCTGTGCTGGGAGCGGGGTGGCCGTGGTTGAAGCCGTGGATTTCTGAGGCAGGGACACCCAGGGATCAGCGTGGGGCAGGGTTCCCTCTGCAGTGCACCCAAAGGTGAGGTTTGGCCATGGCTGAAATGGGATCAGGATGAGTTTGGGAGCTGGTGGCTGTGGCTGTGTCCCCCAGGCTTTGATTTTGTGACGTGGATGCTCCTGGTGGGGATGGAAAGGCAGGAAAAGCTGGACACCAGCACGACTGGCACACATCAGCTCCTCACCTCGGGCTGCACCCAGCGAGGACAAAGCTGCTGCTGCTCAAAGGGGACAGAGGAGTCACCGCTCAGCCAGACACGTGTCACCCCCTCGGAGAGCCTCTGTCCCTCCAGATAACGAGGGGTGATCCTTTTGTCCCTACAAATGTGATGCCGCCACCTCTGAATTCCCAGCCTTGCAATAAACGTTGCACTCAAAAGCTCAGGGGGGTTGTTGGGGAGTTGCTGGCTTGACAATGGGTTGTTTTCTTTGATTTTAATGAGCTTTTGTGATGAAAACCAAATTTCTTTACAGTGTAACCTTGTAACTTTTTTTATGCTTTGATTCAGTTTGACAATAAACTATCTGTGTTATTTTTTTCATTCTCTTCATGTCTGATAATGCAAATAGTTCAGGTCTGTTCCCAGAAATTCCCCTTTCTCTGACCACATGCCATTCTCCTTGGGGAAAACATGAGGAGGGGGAAGTAAAGACTTCAGAGAATCAGGCCAGAAAATTCTCATTCCATTCTTCTCAACTCTTGGGAGCTGCTGGGCTTTAGTAAAGATGAAAGCCTTGACTGCTGAGCACCAAGGCCTTCTTCCTCTGCCAGCAGATTTGGCAGAAAAGCTCAGCTCCTGTTCCTTTTGGTTAACCTGCTGAGGTTTGGAGAAATCCACCTGGCTGCTTTCCAAAGCCACTGAAGCCTGTAAGATGGAGCTGAGAGAAGGAGCAAGATGCAGGATTGTGAGAGGGTGAGGGGGCAGGAGGAAGCCTGATGGTGGCTGCTGGGGCCTCTGTGCAAACCCCTCCCTGTCCCTGCCTGCAGCACCCCTTGGATGGTGACATTCACAGCATCCCTGGAGCAGTTTGGTTCCTCACCTGCCTGCTCTTGGGAATGCAGGTGAACCCTGTGGGAAGAAATGACAATGTCTGACTCCAGAAGGCTGAATTGTTTCTTTATTATAACTATACTATCATACATTAATATACTATTTAAAGGAGATACTAAAACTACAAACCTACTTTCTCTAACTACCATATCTAACTCACAACTCGTGACCCTCTCTGAGAGTCCAGCCCCAGGTGGGTTGGATTGGCCATCAGGCTCAAACAATCCTCACCAGAATCCAACCAAGCAATCACCCAGGTAAACAATTCTCCAAACACATTCCACGTGGGAAAAAAAGGAGCAGAAATAGAAGAGAAATGTGCTTGCCACAGGGTTTTTAGGGGTAAATGGGACTGAGAGTGGATCAGGATCGCTGCCTCTCTCCCGGGCTGTGGTGTCACCTCTCTGTGAGTGCTGATGTTGGGCAGCTGACCTGGCACAGGTCTTGGGTCACCCAGTCTGCAGCCAATTCATCCCCCGAGGGAGAAGGGGAGCTGGGGGAGCTGCCTTCTGCTGGAGCTGCCTTCTGCTGGAGCTGCCTGGGGTCAAGGTGCCGACCTGGAGCAGTTTCTCCCCTGGCACCTGTCTCCAGTTGGGGCTGCATGGAAGGATCAGGCTGAAGAAGGTGCTTGCAAGTTAAGAAATTGCTGCAAAACAAACCCACAGGAAGGTGGAAGTCTGGCATTCTCATGTGTGTTTTTAATAGGAAAATTGTTTTATAAATGCTGTTAGGTTTCTTTCTAATGTCTACCTAATCCCCTGGTTCATACCTGCTGTACCCTCATAGAGAACCGGAGATTTGTATAAAATTTATCTGTGGGGTTTTTAGTGCATCTTTTCCCTTCACAAGCAAACGCATCTAGGAAAAGACAGGAAGATTTTTGTCAAGACCTAAAGAACCCATATTTAATGGCAGAATTACAGAACCATTTTGGCTGGAACTGAGTCGCAGCTGAGAGGGACCAGGTGCTGTGTAGGAGTAGGGCTGAGGCTGAGCACGTACAGGTCCTGCCCTTGGCTCTGCTGCACAGGGCTGGAGCTCTGTGACTCTTTTCTTTCCTTCTGATTTTCCCTCACTAGTGACTGGAGCCTTGGTCTCACTGGAATCCTCTGTCCCAAATCTCAGTCACCCCGAGCAGGTTCAGATCAGCAACCACGCACTGGGTGATCCCTGACCCGCTGCAAAGGTCTTGGAATAACAACCAGAGGGGTCTGGCACATCCTTGGGATGAGGATGCTTGGAAAACAATTGGATTGTTGCATCCCAAAGAAGAGCATGAGGGAGGAAGGTCTGGAGGGCTTTCATGGCTGGGGATTGTGGTGCTCCGAGCCTTGCCATGGTCTGGCAGTGGCAGCGTTTGGCTTTGATGTGTCAGTCTTGGAAAAGTCTTGGAAAAAATCAGGATTTGAAAGGCTCTGGCCGTGCAGGGCTCGGTCACACCACGAGATGGTGCAGCCGTGCAGCGCTGCCCTTTAAAGGCGCCGCAGAGGAAATGGAAATGACATTATTGTCTCAAGGAAGAGCATCAGCAGAGCTTTGGACGTCCGAGTCGCCTGCCAGGATTGTGCTCCACAGGTCCATGGATAACGCCTTCCTTCAGGTAAAAAAAAAAAAAAGAAAAAAATCTCTTTTGGTGCTTCACAAGCAATTTCTTCATTGCCCAATTATTCCTGAGTTTCCTTTGAGAAAGGAATTGGTGGCTCCACACCTGAATGCAGGATAAGTATTCATGATAATCCTAGTCAGTGATTACTTTTTCTTCCATGAAAATGCAGAAATATGTGATCAGCACAGGAAAATAAAAGAGGGAAATCAGCATTTCTCAAATAGTTGAGTCCTAGATTAGGTCCTTACACCTCCCCTATTGTGTTTTTAAAACCATTTTTCCTCCAAAAGCTTTGCTGCTCACCTTTTTTTTCGAGCAACATCATTTTAAATTGAACTTTGGCTCAAGTACACGAGGAGAAAGAACTGTGGACAAATGTTGCATCTCCAGGAGGGGAAGGAGAAAAAAGAAGCCAC